AATGAGTACACATTTTGTATAAATTAATTAATAATATCCATGTGAATATTAATTATATGAATATCCATAATACTATAAATACATAAAAAATATATTATTACACACAGTATGAATAACATTAATATAAATGGATATCAAGTTAGTTCCCATACCAAATGTCAACCAGCGATTTTTAAAGCTTTAAAATCGCTAAATAATTTAAAGATTATATTAATATTAATTATTGCAAAATGTACATTTGAAAATATTCATGGTATTCTGTTTTCTTATTCTTCCATATTTGTACATTTCCAACATATAGAATATTTCAGGAAAAAACATATAGTACTGAAAAAAATAACGTTTACAAAAGTTTCACAATGTGTTTTAGACAGTACACCGAAAGCTTTTCACGATCTTGCAATTAAATGGAAACATTTATACTAATCCGTGCTTTGGGGCAGTTTATAAATTAATTTTAAGGTGACTACTCATTCCTTCGAAGAGGCAATTAATAGCACATTCTGCAGCTCATCATGTGGTATTTAATTATATCCCATTCCAACATGCTGGCAGCTGTAGCACAGTGGTTTCGCGCATTACGGTCGTACACAACAATTAACTCATTATAAACCTGCCAACGAGGCTTTATTCAACCAAGGTGGCACTGCGCAGCCAAGGTGCAGCAGTGAGCCGTACGGATGCATACGGATGCATTCAAATTAATCAATGTGTCCCAGGGAAGATACAAAAAACACAAATACGTAGGCGCAAGATGACATTTGTGCATATTACCAGGGCACAATAGCGTGCTATAAATCACAGGCTGAGTCCACCTCCTGGATAGAATGGAGCCATGTAAATAAATAATTATTATCCGAATCAGACTCAGCTCGCGATGCAAATTTCATCTGTTGCCTGAATTATATTAAGAGCTACTTGCTCAACCACATTGGTCTTGGCTCATGGGTATGTTTTGTGTATATTTATTTTCTAATTAGTCTTTCAAACAAACCGAGTCATTACTGTTGTTTTCATAATGCACATATCTCACCTTGTATTGCACATTATTAGTTCATTGATAAAGAAACCATATGTCCATTATAGTGGATCACAGTTTCACCTTGAGTCCATAAAGGTTTTGTGAATGCTGCATGAGCACTTACCAATGTCATCCCAATGTGGCACAAATTATGATTGTATTTCTAAAATAGTAACAATGCACACAAGTAGTGGTATCTAGACATCAAAATCCGTTAGTGGCCATAAACTCAGCCAGCATGCCTTGCATGCCACATGACATCACCATACTGCATGTATAGTATAATGCACAACAACCTTGTTTTGAACCATCAAGATGAAAACAATTCTGCCAATATTACAATAGATCCACATATGTTAGCTGAATTAGACTTAACTCACAATGCAAGTTAATGTTGTTGCCTGAATTTAAATGACAAATATTGATTGTTTATTTTTACGCACTTTTCTGTCTGGTGACTTTTCCATCATTTACAGAAATTATGAGGTGTTCATATGGATTTACTATGTTATCAACACGTACCATAATTGGGTTGCTTACGGTGTAAACAGGGATTTGTATACAAATATATTGACAATGTTTGATTACGCAAGATAATCAAGCAGCTGGATTTTAATGCTGTATTTTCCCAGATATAATTTTTAAAATGGGATCATTCATCTCAATTGGCCCAAGTCTGGTGAAATAAAGGACATTGGAATGAGCAGAAATTGTATGCATCAAATGTCCGCTTTATTGGTTTTGTCATTTATATAGAATAGGGCAAAGTTATTCCTGCCCTAAGCAGATGATCTAATCCAAAGGATATTTAAAAAAAACTGTGTATCTGTGGCCAGTTTAACAGGATTTTTAAATGAATATAGCTATGCCATTAAATTATATGTGCAAACAACATCTTGTTAAATAATGGTGTGAGAATAATGCTGCAGGTGTTGCAATATTTTGACAGACATCTGTTGTAATTTTAACTGCCTGTGTTAGTATTCCCAACACATTGACTTTACACTGCTTTCTTTGCAAAACTCTGTGCTATCTGATTGCTTTACTGATCTACCCTGGTAGTTATGACGCACAGCCAGTGGCTGTTTACTCACTCAGACGTAAACAGACATACTAATTCCCCTGTTAGCGTGCCTCGGGCAAGTGCTGTGAAGGCCAAAACAGAGCACACACAGCGGGATAGTGCAGCCTACATTAACCCCCAACCTGCGTTTGTGTCTCCAACTCCAGTATTGACCCCTTTATTCCAGGAAGTAATTTTCCACCCAGTTTACTTCGGAGAAGCTCACGGCCATATACAGACCCAAATTGCCATTGATATTGTGCACAGGCAGGTATCCAACAATAATCTTGCTGGCATTGTGGAGCAGAATCCTCATAATGATGTCACTCTTCCTGTCAGACACGTGCACAAAAAAAAGACAGATAACCCATAGCCTACACAGGCCCGTTGGGGCAAGTGCTGTTAGTAATAACCGATGAAAACACTATGTAACACAATTTCGATTTAAAGCTTTCGTGACTGCAAGGATTCATCTTCTTTGGTTCTTTCGGTAAGTCACGAAGAATGAGAATAAAATAATAAAATAAAATAATAAAATTCTCACGACGTTTCGGCCGCAACACAAGCAGCCTTCATCAGGTGAAAGAGCCCTGTCGTCCCGACAGTTCTGTTCTTTCACCTGATGAAGGCTGCTTGTGTTGTGGCCGAAACGTCGTGAGAATTTTATTGTCTTGTTTTATTTTATTATTTCATTCTCATTCTACGTGACTTTACTGAAAGAACCAAAGAAGACTATGTAACACAATTTTTTTCCTGGGTAGTAAGTGTTATTTCCTAATTGCTTATGCCTAAAAAGTATATAAAATGGCTATTATTCCCCACAAACTTTGCTTTTGTGACCAGGACAGTGATATTTAGAAATGTACCTATTTTCAATGAGAAAACGGCCGAATTTGTGTCTTTTTGTTCACATAAAGTCAGAAAAAAACACATATAAATCAAAATTAACATGTATTTGCACTAAAGTAATACAAAAACATGACTACAAAAGATTTAAAAGTGAGTAGTTTTTCAAGATTTACGATTATACTGTAAATCACTTTCACAAATCAGCCCCCAAATGTAGTCTCCCATCATGTTCTCGTTATATTGTCCTTGGTAGCAGTGTTCAAAGTTCAGTATATCCTGGTGGAAGCGCTGGCCTTGCTCCTCCGAGTACGCTCCCATGTTCTCCTTGAATTTATCAGATGAGCATCAAAGATATGGACTTTGAGAGACATCCTACAGCCCATTGTGCCATAGTTCTTCACCAGAGTCTTAGCCAGCTCCACATGGTTGGCGACCTTGTGATTGCCCAGGAAGCCATGAACCACAAAGCTGTCCCAAGCCGCTTTCTCCTTACTAGTGAGCTTCTTGGGGAATTCATTGCACTCCAGGATCTTCTTTATCTGTGGTCCGACGAAGACACCGTCTTCGAACTTTGCCTCAGACAGCTTAGGGGAGAAGTCTTGAAGGTACTTGAAGGCTGCCGACTCCTTATCTACAGCTCTGACAAATTGTTTTATAAGGCCCAATTTGATGTGCAGTGGTGGCATCAGCACCTTCCGGGGATCCACCAGTGGCTCCCACTTGACGTTGTTCCTCCCCACAGAGAACTCGGTCCACTGTGGCCAGTCCCGCCTGTGGTAGTACGCCTTGGTGCTGATAAAACCGCCTTGGAGACCCATCAGGAATGCCACCATTTTAAAGTCTCCGATGACTTCCCAGCCATACTCATCATACTTAAAGGCGTCCAGCAAGGTCTTGATGCTGTTGTAATCCTCTTTGAGGTGCACCGAATGAGCGGAATGGCTTTGAGGCTCCTGGATGAGCTGTCAATTAAAAAGCGCCACTCATTCTGGTTACAGGCGATTCCGATTGCCTCGAACAGACTGGTCACATTGTGGCAGAAGCAGAGCCCATCTTGACGCTTCCTCTGATCTGCGACTTGCACACTTTTGTCCAATAAGTTCCACTGCTTGAGCCTAGACATCAAAAGCTCGGCATTGGACTTGGTGAGACCAAGATCTCTGATCAAGTCATTGAGGTCTTTTTGGTTGGAGTAGTATGGGTTTCTCTCCTTGGCTCCACCTCTGAAATTGTCATCTGGATCTACAACGTCTTCCTCACTCTCTGACTTGCTGCTCTCTTCTAAAGACTGTTGCTCTCTCTCCGGATGAGTGGGTATGGGGCGCTCAAGGCAGTGTGGCACCGGGGTGATGGATGAAGGAAGGACCTGATACGTGATAGCAGGTGCATTCTTGCCAGTCCAACATTTGGAAGGGTCCATTATGCAGAAGTAGCAGTTGCTTGAGTGGTCAGTGGGTTCCTGCCAAATTCTTGGGATAGCGAACTTCATGGCTCTCTTTTCCCCTCTGTACCATCCTATAAAAATACATTTATTTCACCCATGACTAATGTGTAAGAGATTCTCGCAACATTTTTCACACGTGATATCTTTTTTTCAATAACATTGAAAATTGTAAAACATTTTAAAATTAAAAACCTTTACAATTTTACAAATGTTAACAAATTTTATAAGATAAAATTCTGAGCAACAATTGTCCATCTTGCCTTCCAGAGTTTTTTGCATTGCTCGCAAGTGAAATGAGGTGCCCAGGGTTTGTCTTGATCCCCAACAGGCATGCCGAAATATGCCTTGTAGCCCTCACACATCTTAGCAGATGCTTCCACAGAGTACTTTTTCACTCTTGTCTTGATAAATTGGCCGCAGACATAGCACAAAGCGTCTGCCGGATGCTTGCAGCCTATGTATCCACTTAGGCAGCTGGAACTAAACTGAACTGGTGGGCTTAAAGCCCCTGTATTTATACTACTATTCATATTACTGGAAAGTTCTAGAATGTTTTAGAAGTTACTCCAAGTTTACTCAGCACTGAATCGATCTGCAATGTTCTGGAAAATAGGTAAATTTCTAAATATCATTGTCCTGGTCACAAAAGCAAAGTTTGTGCAGGATAATAGCCATTTTCTCTACTTTCGAGGCATAAGCAATTAGGAAAAAAACACTTACTACCCAGGAACAAAAAAACAAATGTTACACAGTAAAATCAGCAGGTTCATGAGCCAACACCATGCATGGCCGCCTTTGTCTCCCCAGTGCTGATCTTTACACACTGTGTCAGATACTCATTTAAGGTTAATTGACCCAGGACAGATTCAGATAATCGCCGGTAATGTACTCCACGACCAGGAATTGAACTCAGGCGCTAGGTGTGTAGCACAGTGCACCAACCACTACGCTACTGCTCCGCAAACACACAGGTATACACACACGTACACACACTCATTCGCACGCATGTGGATTACAGATAGAGATAGTAGATCCAATAGCAAAGGTTGATGACGATGAAGGTGAGGGGAAAGGCCTTGCGAGAGTAGATATCAATGTGGTGTGGGTTCTGCACTGTGCAGCAGTTCATGATGCACACCAGCCGCTTCTTCAGCTTCTTCCCTTCCACGTTGATGCCCTGGGGAGCGCCGTTGGGCTTGGGTTCCCCAGGAGATGAGGAGTGTCCGTGCCCGGGAGACGAGGAGTGCCCATGCCCATTCCCACTGCCGCTGCCTCCGTCGTAGCTGTCCGCCGTCTTTGCGGGGCAGCGTGTCACGGGGGTCTGTACCATCCCGTTGCTCTCCTCGAACTCCTTCTTCAGCTCCTAACGGACAAACGAGCGGTGATTTTGACACACCGATTCAACGGCTTGCACATAAGCGATGCTTTTCATTCGTCATGTTAAAGGCAGCAGAGACTGCAGTGGCAAACAACAAGTGGAGTCAGGAATACATTTTAAACCTTTTCTGAAGATATATTTCAATTACGTTGTGCATTGGCTCTCTGAAAATCGGTCCCCACGTTTTGCAAAAAGTCGAAGTTATTCTGTCCGCCTGCTCCATCATATGAGCAAGGGGCAGGGCTGATATTTGCAGCAGCCCCAAATATCCCGCATCTGTTTAGCTGCCTCTCCATAGAGCAACCATATGAATTTAAATGTCATAAGTGTGTCATCTATATTCCAGTGGTATTTTCTACGGAGCAGTATTGAAATTGACACGTTTTGCTGCAGCGGGGCTTGCAACTAATTTTAAATACGATATACAGCGTTTTCTTTGAAAATGTAGTTAAACTTGTTTTCATCAGATGCCGAGTATTAAAATAATTCCAACATTGGAACTGCACAGATCACAAAGGAATAGCACAGTTCGTGTCACTCTGTAAGTGCAAACCATCGAAGAATGAACATTATATACTGTAATGTGTTTTGTATTGACGATGCATTATCAAGGCCAAAGACATAAAAGTGAAGCTTAACTTGTTCAGCCATTAAGTACCAGTGCGATATACCACTTTGGAGGTAAGGGTTGATGGATCGCATGCATTTGTGAAACTTTCAAACCCACTGAGCTGTGATATGGCCAGGCGATGGCAGTACAGCCAATGAATTTGCGAGCCCACCGCTGTGAACCTTTGAGTGTCGTTCCCTCACATATATATAAATGGGTTTTCCCCTGATACTCTGGTTTTCTCCCACGTAAAAATAACATTCAGAGACATTGCCAAACATATGTGAAAGACCCTTCTTAAATAGCCTTGAGACTCAGTGAGACTTTCCAGACGAAATTCATCGTGTTATAATTATACACTTTAATGATTAAGATACCTAATGTGCTAAATTGATCTTAATTTTAACACCGCTCTAATTTCTTCCTGGAGAATACGTGATTTGTGAATGAGATCGGTGTCCTAATACAATATATTTGACTTAATATGTTGTCCTCTGCAGACGATTTCTCTGTTGAGGACAAAACAATATTTTGCAAGGTGGACAGAAAATTGTATGGCACCTGAGAGCCCAAGCGATGCCCAGCTAACGAGCAAGACATTTTTATTTTATTTATTTTATATACATTTTTAAAAAGGAGCCATGTGCCCACTGTGTTTTTATGTTCGGAGGTCAATGCCATAAAAATGTAGTTGGGCTGCTAAGTTGTTATCTATAACAATGTCCCCTCGCACACAAACGATGGAATGTTCACTGGTTGTTTCACTTTAGGTGGCAGATGAATGCCCGTAGTTGAAATGTGCCAATATACCAATGTGCTACATTCTTTGATATTCTATAAACTACCACTGTGTTGGGTTTTGAGACCTAAATGGATCTCAGAGCATGAATATGGTTTAAGCAGCATTCAAAAAGGGACATTTTTTACTACGAGGGCCTGCCTCAAGAGAATATAGATGTAATTCAGTGGAGTTTGTGTTGATAATCCATTAATTTGTTCAAATTTACTTGCATTATCGATTTCAGTAATTATATATTGGTCATCACATTTGTTGGACCCAGTAATTACACGCAAACCCTATTTACTGGACTACCGCACAGTATTTATTTTTCTCAATAAAACTTCAAAACATAATATGTTATATATTATGTTGATGCTCTTGTTAACATAATATGTTATATATTAATATGTTATATATTATGTTAACAAGAGCATCAGGACCTTTAAAGTGCCAAAGAGGAAATACAACAGGAATGTGGACAAAATATAATCCCTCACTCAAATGTGAGCCACCAGCAAACACCACAAAATAAAGTGATGTCCCTAAGGAAGACTTTGGATGATAAGACATAAGACGAGTGTTTCTTCTTTCCACTGAAATCTTTAACTGTGACGGGGTCGGCAATTATTTACGGGTTACATTGCAATCTCATGGCTGCACATTGTCCATTTGGAGAGTTTATAGCTTCCACCAGCAGGTGGCATGTACCATGATACTTCTGTAAGTTACCGATAGCAGTCCATTGTAGCCTCTGGCCGATGGACTCAACAAAACGCAAGTGCATTCAATTGACAGCAATTAAATCCCACATTGTGTAGAATTTTTAACTAGTTTACAATCACCGGTACCAAATGTACGAGCATCGTTGGTTAGACGACAAGCAAACAGAATTTTAAAAAAAATCAACTAATGCTCGTCCCCAAGCATCATGTGACTTACACACTGCATTATAATTATCCAGCAAGAGGAGGCAAAATCCCCTCTGGAGCAACACCGGCAGTGGTGTGAGCAAGTCATTGCAGGGCTGCACCTTTATCAGCTCGATGTAGGAAATATAATCCACAGCCAATGTCTACCACATGCATCGTTTAAAAATACCGCTATTAATAATGCTATTACTCGCACACACGCACAATTTCAGCAGCAGTGATATCATGCAGTGTTAATGTATGCCAGCAATGAGAAGCACATTTCCCGTTTGTGGAGATAAGCAGGTTGAGAAGAGGGCAGCTTAATATTTAAAGAGCTATTGATGCGGTCCAAACTTGCTTAGGAAAAAGATTTTAGTAGCCTGTGCTGGCAGTTTAGCTTGAACACTGAGGCTATCACCACAGCTCTGTCAAGAATGCCGTAGGCAAAGGCTTAGCCAGGATTTCTTACACGGCAGAGCACGTGGGGCAGACTTGCAGTGTTGTATATGTGTCACAGCTTGTTACAGCTGTTGGTGGGTGCGTACGCTTTCTTGTACTTCCCGGATCTAATCGCTGCATTTCACACATATAACACGCACTTTGGAATCGTATGAAAAGGGAAGAGACTGTCCACCAGCATTTCTATTCACCGATTTAAATACACATAATCTTGGAGGGTCGTGGGGCTATATACTACCGCTGGATGAAGGGGGTTGCAATCTAAGCCCATGGTCATGGGATATGTAATGTTCGCAGAATAGACAGGGCTTGGGTTTAAAACGGCAGCACACACAAGATACACACTGCCCCCTACCACACTGCTGGGTTATCGCTTGCACTCAGACTTAGGGGGGAATTGTGCCCCATGCTAGACTGCTGACATTGCTTCTGCATTGAAATTGCCTGCAGTTGACCCCAAATCATGTTTTGAGTACCTCAGAATCCATGAGCTGCTACTTACTGATGGGTCCCTTCCGTAGGAATGTTGTAATTTCCAACACCCATTCAGGTTATACTATCCGAGATGAACAATGGACAATTGACTTTTAACGAAGAATGTGACAATCCTCAGCTCTGTGAATCTGGAACAAAAACCGCCTCCTCTTCATCCTCCCTGACGAAAGCCGCAGCGGCAGACAGAGAGAAGTGGAAAGACCACTGCAAGGAGATATCAGTGAAGGAAAAGGTCATAACCCAGCGGCCCGAAAAACCAAGGATCTAGCAGAGTAACAAATACCAACCATGCCTGTGGGTCACTGTAAACAAGTTGCAAACATTACCAAATATATTTGGAGGCCTGTGAACAGTGGGGTTGTGGCGAGTGTGGGATGAGCTGCTACCCAAAGATACACGTTGTACATATAAAAGCTGTCAGCCTTATTTAGACAGCCGGCTCAAAATAGCTTCTGTCAATTGCACAACCAACTCGAAGTGACAAAACTGGCAGTTCTTTTGAGCTGGTGGCCTGAATCATCGGGCGATTTTCCAGGCAAGGCAAATCGCCCGATGATGATGGTTGATGTAACTACCAGCTAAACGTCACGGTACTCAAATTGTAAATGTTGTGGATTTACTCTCCAACACACCGGTGGGCTGAAGTAGTAACTAATTGGCATTGTGTTTACGTGACAAATCCCTTACTAATTGGCTGTGTCGGGTGGTGGAGGGTTACGACATATGTATACTTACGCGATCTAACCTAAAAAACCCTATATTATTAATAATATTTGTCGCGAAAGCCTCCATGTTATTAAATCCGATTTGCGTTTCTCTTTCTTTCCCCCCCCACCCCCCCCACCCCCGGGCCCGCACACTCGTCGTTCCTGTTCGCGATGGGGCTTTTCTCGTTGTTCGCGAAATTCGAACGAGGCCCGGCTTTACCCGTTGGATGTCGTGGATGTGTCCCTGCTCGAGCGTGTGGAAGTGCGCCACGGCGTACTCCACGAGGGCCCCGAAAATGAAGCTGAAGCAGATGCCCAGGTAGACGTCGATGGCCTTGATGAAGCAGTTGGCGTTGGGCAGGGAGGTGCGCGCGCCCATCATTAGCGTGGTCATGGTGAGCACCGTGGTGACGCCTGCATTCGTGCCGAGGAGAAAGAGAGGTTAGAGGTGTGCCAGATGTTCGTCCCGTTCAAAAAAAACCCCAACAGAATTCTATTGTTTAATGTTTCTGCTTCAGTGGGGTTTTTTTTTCACCTGCACGTTAACAGGTTAATTAAAAACAGCCAGGTTTTGTTTTTACCCTCACTGATAAGGAAAGAATGATTTAGACACTTAAGCCTACTTGCCATCTTCAGGAAACATTGAGGTGTACAGAGGGAAGTTTTATTTATACTGGAGATGGATGGGTATGGTTGGGTGGTGGCTGATTCAATACAGGGTGCTGAATATATATATAAAACTTGGCACTCCTTAAATTTTGACTTAAAGCTTTCGTGACTGCAGGAATTCATACTATTTGGGTCTTTCTGTAAAGTCACGTAGATAGGTTAAAATAAGATAACAAAAAACTACGACGTTTCGATCGCAACACAAGCGGTCGTCATCAGAAAGAGGGGGTTAGCCTCTAAAGGCAATCTGTTCATAAAGGTTTAAACTGGGCGTAGCCCAAGTGTCAGCAGCATGGGCGGGGTAGGTAATATTAATGTAAGGGATAAAAAAACGGTGTGCACCAGCATGAAGGGCCGTGCTATAAGGTGATGTAGGGTGGTGCAAAAGATGATGGTAGTAGTGGGCAATGATGGTGCTGGTGGTGGGTTTCCACCAATCACAGGGCTGCCAGGTAATCAATGCAGCTAGCTTTACACACTCACACTGGTGATGGTGGAGGTTGCTGCTAGAGGTGATGGTAGTAGTGGGCAGTGATGCTGCTGGTGGTGGGCTTCCACCAATTAAAGGGCTGCCAGGTCTAAAATGGAAACATTACAGCCAGTTATGACTTAAACTGGTTGATAACATCCATCCAGTGATTGCTGAGTTTGTACCCATCTTCTCGGTTGAAATTGTGTCTATGTCTGTATATATGGATGGCTTCATGAACGAATATTTGTTGATAGTCAGTGGGTTTGCAAAGTACCTTCGTCCTAGAGAAATCAATTTCGTGTGAGCCCACAGCATTAAAACAATGATCAGCCATGGCCGCGGTATTTGTCCTACCATGTTTTAGATCTGCCTTATGTTCACGAACACGGTCTGAAACATGTCGCTTTGTTTCCCTAATGTAACTACTGCCGCAGACACAGCTTAGTTTGTAGACGCCGGGGTATTGCATGTCAGGGATCACATCCTTCACAGATGGGATAAGATCACGAATTTTATGTGCTCTGTTAAATCGAACCTAGATGTTATGTTTGCTCATGATTTTGGAAATATTTTTGGTGGCCCCTGCTACGTATGGCAAGGTGATGGTTTTGATTGGGTCCTCAGATGGTTCTTTCCCAACGGTTGGGGTGATAGCTTTACGGATTGTGTAGTCTGAATATCCATTCATCTTGAGGGCTTGGTCTCCGTGTTCCAGTTCACTGGCTAGGCGGTGATGGTCGGAAATACATCGAGCACTATGGAATTCTTCTGAGATGGATGGTGGTTGGAGTTACGTTTTAGGTAGGCATCCATATGGGTTGCTTTCCTGCAGATAGAGTGGCCCATTGAGCCACCTGACTCCCACCACCATCCATCCCAGTAGAGTGTGTAAAGCGAGGTGCAATGATTACCTGGCAACCCTTTAATTGGTAGAAACCCACAACCAGCACCATCATTGCCCACTACTACCATCATCTCTTGCACCACCCTACATCACCTTCTAGCACGGCCCTGTATGCTGGGGCACACCGTTTTTAATACTTTACATTAACATTCGCTACCCCGCCCATGCTCCTGACACAGTTTAAACCATTATAAACAGTTTGCCTTTAGAGGCTAACCCCCTTTTCCTGATGACGACTGCTTGTGTTGAGATCGAAACGTCGTAGTTTTTGTTTTTTTCTTTGAACCTATCTACGTGACTTTACCGAAAGAGCCAAAGAATATTGACACTACTTTCTCAACAGTGTGTGGAATGGAATGTGAGGAAGGCCATTTTCTAGACCAAAAACAAAAGGCATGCACAGGTGTTGTGCACTACATTTCTGCATTTGTGAGCATGGCCGTGTGGAAAGTCAAACGATGTTTTTACACTACATTACACCAATATGTAAATTCATACTGGGGTCACATGTGTAATGAAGGCAGCTAAAAAGCACACACTCGGTTAAACAGGGTGGACGAGTGCAATTATGGCCATCTCAGAGTAATAAGCTGACACCGCTGAGATTTTAGATTCAATTCGGGGTCGAGCCACATGGGACCTAACCTCATGTGCAGGTGAGTTGATGGCCTCAGCCCAGTCACCAATGATGGACAAATAGCATTACATATATTTGGCATATTCCAGCTTTGAACTATGAAATAACATCAATTGGATTTGCTCACCATGTGATGAACACTCGTTGCAGGGCATATACATGTGTGACAAACCGTGGATGCCCTTTGGTAATGGAGCCCATGTGGAGTCTCTGGGGCTTGTTGGTGCTGGGCACCAGTTGCTTCAAACCGCGCTGTGCCACCGGCGTTGCCCTCTCCTCTCGGTGGCGAGATGTCAACTACCTCACCCAGTATACAGGAGGTCGTGGGTTCGATTCTGACCCTGACGATGCCCGTAGATATGGAGTGTGCATGTTCTCCCCGTGGTCGCGTGGATTTTTCTCCGGGTCCTCCGGGTTTTCCCTCCACATTTAGAAACGTGCGTTAAGAGTATTTAGTTGCTATAAATGTCCACATGACAAGGCACTTCGTTAAGCTATCATATGTGGCCAGGTTGGGTCTGAAAAATAGCTATACAGCTCAGTGGTGCTTACCTGGTAAAATAAAATATAGTTTAGTTTAGTCTCTCTGTCATGGTTCGCTCCCTCCCCCAATCCCCAACATAGCTTCCATTGAAATGTATTTCTTGTTGTAAAGCATCTCCACACGTGGCTTAATTTAGACACTATATATATTTTTAAAATGTTGTTGTTGTTTTCATGCCTGAGGTTTTTAGGTAGTAGTAGTATTTGTATGTTCAATTTAACCATACATACATGGGCTATTCTGTTTTTCTTCTCATACTATCCTTGGGAAGTACTGATTTCTGCTCATGGCACTGAACTAGTGGTGAAAGTTCCACGTTCCAATGGTGGAAGCTAGTCAATCCGTAAGGTGACCACCGTTCACATTCCACATAGTGGTACTGATCTGATTGAATCAATGAAAAGGTGCATACATTCTCCGAACAAAGTTTGAACTCGCAACTCTGCTGGCTATTCATCAGGCCTTGGATGAGTTAACACCAACACAAATAACATTTGTGGGTTTGGTTTTTTAGCATTATCATATGCAAGTGGCCAAGATTATTTAGTATTTGACTCTTTTGGGTACTTTACAATTCCACGTAATCGCACGCCCCTTTTTGCAATGAGAATTAGGATATTATATAAGTTAAGAATATTATGCACTTGCTAGATAACGCTGCCATGAATATTAATAGATGGAAATTTTCTACAAGGTCTCTCGGCACACAGACCAATGTGTCATTCATTTACATCCTCACCGTGATGGAATGCACCAAGAAAACAATTAAATTATTTCAGAATTATTTTTAGAACTGCAATATTTAACACGTGAAATGTGGTGCTGATAACTATACATAGTTTCCAATGTGATTAAAAAAGGTCGTACTGTTTTTCCGTTATACATTTTCCAAATTTGACCTTCATTTGCACCCCAGCAAAGAGCATTACTTTGGTCTTTGAACTATTATTCTCTAAGATAGAGAACCAAATCACTCTCAATGCACCCAATCAGTAAGATCTCAGAAGCCAAACAGACTTGAGCCTGGTTAGTATGTGAATGGATAGTCAACAGGGCTTGCCAGGTATTCAAGGAACAGGGCTGCGAAATGGCCGGAAGATTGAAATTATGAATATCACCCCTTGTATACAGGGTGGGTTTCCTCTGGTTTCCTACCACATGAAGTCAAAGGCTCTTTCATTGAAATGGCCAAATATAATCCCACTGCAGGGAACTCCTGAACAAGTGTATTGAGACTCAGTGAGCTTTCCTGAATAAATAAGTGGAAGTTTTTTTTTATATATATGTACACTGTAAATATAATGTTTCATACACAATCACGTTTTCCCGTGACTTCTGTGCTGTTTGCTATTCGGCTATTATGAGTTACTAGCAATACAATATATCCTATGCTGAGCAGGTTTTTTTGTGTTGTCAAAATGGGTAGCCAAGTTGAATTCAATGGAGCAAAACAGGATTATCATCCTGAATGCGTGCGTGCACTCCACAGAGCTCTTAAAACCGGGAGTTTACTATGCGATTAAAATAAAATCGATATTGCACCTTACGCCCGTCACACCGCATAACTGCCATGTGCTCGTCCATATGGTTCCAACAATTAGAAACTAATTGCATATAGAGAGATTCAGAAAATATGATACACTGGAGGCAGTATTGAGGTAATAGATTCACAAGACTTTTTTTGTCAGATGGTCCTGCCTGGGTGTTTGCATGTGGTCAATCCACTGCCAGATGAAACCCTTCTCAAGCTGCTGCCATCTTTCATAAGCATACACTCTAATAATCCAATAATCGACCATTGCCTGCAAATGAACCGATATCAGTGCTCCAACTCGTCGTCCTCTCAGCTGCGTTCCATTCGTCGGTTGCCACTCCAATCCATCATTATGCTTTACTGTCCTTGCTCAAGCCCCACTTACTTTCTCTTAGCATTCTGAATGATGTAATTTGCCATACAAAAGAAGAATGATGTCGATTAACCTGTATATGCTATCGAACGCATGCAATCCTCTTTTTTGCTTCTCAATGCAATTCTAAGTACTTTTCAGTTTTTGTTCCGTATTTTGCAACCATGGCCCGTGTTTCAAAACCAAGTCATGGCAGGTGGTAGACCTTCTCTTTGAAACGTATCTTCATTGGGGGCATTGCTATGTTACTTTTCATTATCAAGTGGATATTTCCCACCTCTTTATGCACAAATACAAAGGAAAACGTTTCGATGCACTTACGTCAGAAAACTACTTGCTGTACTGCCCCCTACTGACACTGTGGTACCCAATAGGTGATATGTCATGTGGAAAAAAATTTAAACACGATCAACCAATTAGTCTGCAGTGCTCGTCCATATATTTTTTTACTCGTATATTTATCACCATCACCATCATCATCGGTCATGGCCAATCTACTGCTGGATGACGGCCCAATCCGCAACGTCATCTCACGAATCCTGTGATGTAATAATTCACCGAGCACCTGCACGCACGCAGGTTCACCGCTCAATCTCTTCTCGATGGACATCCCCTATGATGCATTCCTTTCCTTGGCCGAGACTCCCATTATTATTCTTTCGTTTCTTAAATAGTTCGAATGGCGTCATTAACCTGAGTACGTTCTCGAATCCATCTGTCTCGCGCCAAAAAAGTTGCACGAAAGAAAAATAAAAAGATGCATGGTTGGAATTACGCCGAGAGCCAAAAAGAAGTGAAGTTATTTATTGTTCAACTTATAATGGGGTTTTTTTTGCGAAGCAGCAGGTTTAATCACATGCAATAAAAACGCAGTGCTTCATGATTAACTGCATTTTTTTAACGTACATCAGTGACGATTGTGTGCGTTTTAGCCACGTGTATGGAGGGCATAAATATGTATGATACATATGTGTGCATCGGTGTGTTTGCAAAAGTGCTTCCATTCAATGCCAACGTTGTTTAAATTATTAAGAGGGAATATTACTGCACAAGAGGGCATCGCATGAATTCTGCCTTTGCATTTAATTTGGCCCAGTTCAAAGCTGAAGATGAAACTTGCATATTTATGGCAGAGAAGCACAGAATGAAAGCATCATCAATCAACTCCACAACATAAAATAAAAAAAAACATTGTAAAATGTATATAAGATCAACTTTGCTGGGATTAGGGGGGAGAAAACCTGCAAGTTCACTTCAGGAATTATTCTGGATATGTTCTGCTGTGCAGATAGTTCTGTACAAAACAAAAAAACGTGTATCTCTGTTCCAGATACTGACAGCACAATCGAGATGATTTATGAACATTTTTAAAACAAAAAACAAAACAAAAAATCTGCAGAACTCACCGATACAAATCCTGGCAGGGACAGAAGACTGGCTGATCCAGAAGGACACCCAGGACAGCACAACGAGCAGCACGGACGGAATGTACGTCTCCAGGATGAAATACAAGATGTTACGCCGCAGTTTGAAGTGAAACACCAGCTTCGGGTACTGGCCTGCCGCAGAGTAATAATAATAAAGAGCCATGCAGTTATCACTTTTTCTGGGCTGCTTGAGTCTGCAGCGAGAGTGCTTAACCATACAGTTGGATCGTTGTAAGTCCTAGTTTTCTCAAAATCATGTTCTTTTTGAGGTAGCTGTCCGGGGAAATTGGTTAGTCTTCCCAGAACATTCAATCTTTTTTTTTCAGATAGTAATACACCACACAAGGCAATTCATTTGCTTGTAAATCTTCCTTCTGCTGGCATCGTGACATATTCTTCTCATGATAAGTCCCGGGGTTTTTTTTTGTACCTCAGAGGAAGCATATCCGAGGTGTACATTTAAATTCTGGTTCAGAAGTCTGAACCCTTGTTGTTATCACACATTCTTGTGAGTGCAGTCCATCACGAACGCACAGTGATCACAACAAAGTAAACGTGGATAGACGGGCCCTCGCCATCAGAAAGTGGAATTTTCACCAGTCACTCCAGAGTGTTGACTTATTTATTCGTTTGTTTTTGCCACCCCGTGTTTATTAAAGGTGGGGCAAAAAGAAAGTTCCGTGTGTGAGTGCAAGGGGAAGACAATGGGGAAATGGGCGAAAGGAGCAGGGGTAAGGGGTTTTATTTTTACCTCGCTTGTGCACTTCCTTTGGAATGTGACTGTCATCTAGCCATCAATACAATGCTGGAGCCCAACTCTGGGCTGTGCATGAGGGTGGTTTTAACATCCCAAGTTCATTGATCTGGCCGACACTTTTTATTGTGTGATTTAAAGGGACAACTAGATTATCGTAGTGAACTTTTTTGTACAATGCATAGCCGTTGTTATTCATCTGTACAATCAGGGGGGGGGAAATTACCGATCTTTATTCGTGTTAAATATTTCATAAATAATGATAACATAGAAAATGTATTGATGCTTCCTCAAATCACATTTTTAACAAAGCATCATCCATTTGCGTTTGAACATTTTTACATTGTGAATGCATATCAAAATTGTACATTCTACTGTACTTCTGCGATTGTATTGTCCAGGCTCAGGCGATCCTGTAATTCAAACTCTCATCAAAGGGGGTTTGAATCCCTTCGGAAATTCCCATTCTATGGGTTTTGATGGCATTGTGAATTCAGGATTTACGACTTATTCCGATGGAAACCCCCTGGTGAATAGCGCGATAAATGTGAACAGACACGCGTGATCTCAAGGGCCACGGCTTTGACACTTACAGCTTCAATCCATGCTTAAAGAGCCCCCATGTTCGTTGATAGTGAGACACATTTCTGAAGTTGATTGTTTAATATTGAAGCCCACGTACTACCTTCCTGCTTACGTGTCACTACTATTTATAATTTTTTTACCATATTTCTACAAAAGTTACTTTACACCTTCTTTGGGTCTTAAGTCAAGATTTACTTTACACCGCAGTTGGTATTCGACAACACAGTTTCTACTACTATTATCATCACTATGTATTATTTTACAAAGTAAGGCCCACTGAGCTATATTGCTCTTTCTCAGAAGCGAGCTGGCCACAAATTATAGCCCAATAGAGTGGCTTATGTGGAAATGTATAACGGCCCAATACTCTAAGCGCATGTTTCTAAATGTGCAGGGAAAACCCGGAGGACCAGGAGAAAAATCCACACGACCACGGAGAGAACATGCAAACTCCAAATATACAGGCATCAGGGTCGAGATCGAACCCACGACCTCCTGTATATCAGGCGAGGTAGTTAACATCTTTCCACTGCGGCACCCTATTATTACATATTACATAAAGGCAGTGTTTTTTTCAGCCAGAGATGTCCAGGGATGAACTCCAAAAAATATTTTCCCAACAGCCCCCCACCCCCACCCAAGTAGGGAGCCACTGAAAATATTCCATGACAAATTAATCCCTGCATCAAGGTAACTTCTGACACCAAAAATGACAATAAAGCATTCTGGAAATAATCCATTGCAACAGCATGGCAAGCTATTATTGGCAAGTGAGACAGCACATTGATTTATTTCAGTATTACTCTTATGTAAAAAAAATCGCCATTTTTTTCAAAGTACTGGATTGTATAGATCAATATATTTCAATTACCTGTGTTGCTCAAAACAACATCGAAAGGTATGAGCAATACCGTGTAAGATATAAATGTTGAGGACCACCGCAACACTCGACTTCCACAGCAACCAATTATATAAAGTGTAGTGCTGTAATTCTATATTTGTCCAGGAAAATATTACACAACCAAAAGACACATTTTCAGTAGAGACCTACTTGATATGTTTGACCAATTCCTTTCAAGAAATTTTTCAGAAATGGGGAGGAAAATAAAGTGTCCAAAAAAAGCTCACACATGAGAGAGAAAAATATTTAAACTTGCATCTGAAAAAAAACGACATGCTGTACTGCCTTTCAAAGATGCATTATTGTCATTCAGGTATATATTGTGCACGTGATCTTAGCATGATTGTGTAGTGACGTATAGTGAGTCACTGTGGTGTAGCACCAGCCACTGAGAGGAGAGTGGAACTGTGCGTGTCAAAGCCTCTATCTGGAACCAGAGTGTGGATGCCATAGAAGGGAACCCTAGGGGGCATTGTTCTGGTCACAGAGAGAGGTCGGTTAAGGATGTTACAGTCTGGGTGAACCCGAGAGGGCACATGACCAGACAGAAGAGGTAATGGGACACGTGGCATAGGGTCCTCAGGCTTCTAGTAAGATCCAGAAGGGGGCGTGGCCGGGGGCGGGACCACGCTGAAGAGCATAAAAGCCGAGTCCCGAGAGCGATCTGGGATGTCTTCTAGAATCATCCCCTCGAGCGATGTCGCTTCGCTCTTCGGTCTTCGATCGGGGTCTTATTTAGTAGTTACCCTGTTAACAGTGTTTCCTTAGATAGTAGCCCGGTTGGGGCCGTATAATAAACGTGTTGCCTCCCAGACCAAGTGTGTGCCTCTGTGAAACCCGCTACAATTGCATAACCCCTCCTACAGGTTTGCTTGGCAAACAAAATCACTGCTTGTAAATTGAAAACAGTGCTCAAATTTACGACAAGACTCAACTTTACAGACATGCAAGCTCTGTGAGCTGTTATAAAAGAGATCGGTGGTTGTCACCTTTGATGAGGTGTTGTGACTGCGGAGGTCTTGTGTTGTGACTATGGTCAGTATATTTTGTAAGGCTGAAAGTCAGTCCCTTTCTGTTACCAGCAGGTGATGCTATAAGTCCCTGCAGGTATTCTAACTCATGGTTGATGGAGTTATATTCTTCTCTTGGCGTGTCATTACAAAGGCGTTTCTTTGTTTTATCCTTGACAGTTGAATTACCATAATTATTCAATGAAACAGAAATATTCCAGTTTCACTTGATAGTAAAATTGTATGTATTCCATACTCGGCTATTATTTCTAACTGTGCTATTTTTTTCAATATGACCAGCTGTGTTCACTGAATCAAGTTGTACTGGTTGGGACACGTCAATGAATATTGAGCTTTCAATTTTTTTTTTTATCATGAACCAAATCTGTATCTAAATTCCATTTGGATATTAATTGGCCAAAGGCCAAATGCATGCAATTGTTATTCACAATTATTGTTTATGTAAATGTGCATTTCTGCAATTACTTGCTCACTCCACTGCTGGCTAAAGGCCCTCTAATTCGGGGGAGCTCAAAAGAGAGTGGGTATTTAGACCTACTCCACGCTGGTCAAATGTCTTGCAAAAGGGGGGGAATAACCACACCACACTCGACCTGCCGATCTACTAACTGCGCTGTACTCATTTATACTGCTGGGAAGACAGTGGTGGGGGGATTTAAGAAACCTGCACCATAGTTTAAACTGCCTGTTGGGAAATATGACCAAACATGGAGATAACCTGCTGGCGCAGCAGTCAGAACATGGCATCACTGAGAGCCTGGGTTGATTCTGAGCAGGAACTCGGGCTTAAACCAGGTTTTCAAGTGGCGTAAGCTAATGTCTCGGCCGGGTGACAGAAGTAATATATTAAATATGGGTTTTTACTTAATTTGGATAAATTCCAAGTTTGGGAACAAAAAAAACAGCAGTTTCAGTGCCAAGCAATGAACTTGTATCAGCAGGACGGCATGTTAAGTAGTGCACACTCTTTCGTGTAAAACATGTTTAACTCACATTAAGGTATATTTGAAGCAGTTCAACAATAATTACTCTTGTAGGGTATTCTTTTACACATTCCATGATATAAAGCTGGCAGCAACCTTGGAATTAAAGTTGGGAAAAATCCAGAAATAAATTACCAAACATTAATTCATGTGGCTTTAGACTGTCAAGAAATATATATGTAGAATTCACCAATTTCATAAATTATAACATTCCATTGTGTCCCTTATCTGCTCTGAAAAACAGGTTTCTCAGTTTCCATATTTTTTCTTGGAACAAAAACTCAACGTATTCATCAAATAGCAATGCCTAAAAAGGAATAAATATATATTCGATGATGTTTGTGGAAATGCCCCTTCCCCAAGTTCTATGAAAATGGGCCATTGCCTGAATCGTCATCAATAGTTGTCATTTGTGCTTATGCACCACTGCCACGGCACCTCCCAAAACAAAACATTTACGTAGACAAATATATTTCTCACCGGTTTCATAGACGGCCTCAGAAACAGAGGTGTAGTACCCTTCCACCGTGTACTGGGCAAGTTTGAGTGTGTCGAGTCCCCGCACAGAGTCGTTTCCGCGTGTCCAGTAGAACACCAGATCGTTCGTATTATATCCCCCTAACAATACCACACACTCATCAGAGATCAGCATCGTCATCATCGTCGTCGTCATCATCGTTCACCGTCAGATGTATGAGCGTGTCTCAAAATGACCTTTCAGCTGCCCCATATTAAGATGGTGGTTCTCTCAACAACACAAGTGATGCAGCCGAGATATTTAATGTCACACTCATTTACAGCCATCTCAGGTGACTTTCAATCGGAATTACACTTCAGAGCTTTAAACTGCGTAAACTACCCCCGCTGTAATTAATTTGTCTTTATTTATTTGCCGAATGAAAGTGGGGTGGAGTGTTGGTGCAGCGGTTAGCGTCCTGCACTCTGAACCTGGCCACCTGAGTTTGATTGCTGAACACCAACATTAGTTTGCGAGTGACAGCTGAACCATACTTCAGTGACCAGTACGGTGAAGTATGGTCTAACGAAACTCATGTTCAAAATGTCGTGGCGAGGGAGGTCTCTATTCTGCAGCCAGTGGATTTACAAATGGCAGTCGTGGATGAATAACAACGCACCCCTACTCTGGGCCAACCCACATTGAACAGTGTAAGTACCTTATGGTCAAACAACTAATAGGGCATGAGGCCTTCATACATTAGGTGAACTAACAAAGGGCTGTACATTATAGTTAAACCTTTAACCTACCAATGTTAATTACATGACAGTTTTTCGTAGCTTGTGATACACTCATATTTGGATGGGGTCATATTGTGTCATTTTCGTGTTTCCCATATGGACTGTATTTACTCTCTACACAGTTGCTGTTTTAGTCAGTGACCTCTGGAATTAATAACAGGTTAATTGTAAAAAATAACATGCTTGTGTTACAGAAAACCATAAGGCGAAGATCTGGACAATTTGGTGAAGTGGCGTTCGATCATGCTTGCGTTTGTCAGAAAACAGTCTTCAATATACTGGGTACGTTGAAAAGAAGTGGGCTTGTGCTATTGTTACATCATCGATCAGTATAAGGATTTGGGTACATTTTTTATATTTAATGGAGTTAAGGTAAGTCTCACTGAAGTACAGTACAGGAGTCATCGGTGATTGTAGAAGTATATATACAGAACTCCAAGGCTGTTACTATTTTCAGAGTGCGGGGAATTGTACGGTCTGTCAGGACATAGACAACGAATCGAACGTTCCAGTTTAATTCAACCTGTTTGTGGTGAGTCATCAGCGTCGCAGCTATTACTGAGTGTGCAGGCGGTGCAGTTGCACCGCAGGCGGTGTTCGAGGGCCGCAGGAACCCCAGGTGCCAGGCTGTGAAGACGGGGGAGGCGGGGAGCAGCGACTGCTGGCAGTTGGCTGCTTGGGGGGGTGGGGGGTTGGCAGTGCCAGGTGGAGGCGTCGGGAAACGAATCCAATTGTCTCAAACGGGTGGTGGGCAGATTGTCGGCACTCGGGAGGGGACAGAAATGTCAAGTTGTGCAGTCGGGTGGCTGTGATGAGTGCGGTGTGCACCTGACACTGATCAGGTGACAGACACCAAAAACGCCTCGGGGGGGGTGGGGGGGGCAACGCCACTGGGATAGACGCGCGCATCGTGAAACGTGCTCTTAATCACGTGGAGATGTGAGGCGAGAGCGGACAGTGATGGAGCATGTTTGGGTCCCCCGTTCAATTCGTTGCCACCAGCGCAAATGTTGCACCACTGACTGGGCCCTCTGAATGTGAATAAGCCTGAACATGAAAAAAAAACCCTCTGAACTCTTTCAAGCAACAACTCACAGCTCTCCAGTTGCAGGGTGCAGGTCTGCTTGTCCATGGGATACTTGGTAAGATCCATGTTGCAGGCCACTGTGGTGGTGATTCTGTTGACAAATAATGCGTGAAAGTGCTTCACATCGAATACGCGTAGTTTAGTTAAAAATGTCTGTGTGTTACTGCTCAAATACACCACGGGGTGTGTACTTATTTCCAGTGGCTGCTCTTAGCCAGTAATGTAAATTCGGCATGTCCATAACAGGATCAATCTCTACAAAGGTCGACCATTGTTCACTTCCCACACAATAGCGATTAATGCTATCAAACCCATGGAAGTAATGGTGAAGCCTGGACCAGAATTTGACTTCACAATCATCAATTGTAGCAGCCCTCCGGCATTTCTGAATTTAGATTGTACTCTCATGTGCGTATGTTCTCGTAATGTTATTGTAGGCAGCCATGAATGCATTGCCATCTGTCAATAAGTATGAGATGTGGAATTTTCACCACCGGGTCAGAGCTATACACACACAGGCAGCAAAAAAGAGCATACACACATAATGGACGTTATGTAATTAAAGAAAAAATGTGAGTGTTCCTATGCTCCATCAAATATTTGGCCGTGCTTATATCAATTGGTAGTCGTGTTTCAATCGTGAAAATACCTCATTCCTATGGTGGGTACAAGGCTCTACAACTCGTAGTATAGTGCAATTGGCACTTCGACATCGTCAAAAAATAGTGAGAAGCTCATTACAGGCAAAACAAGACGCTTCACATCCAACTTAAAGATGAGCAAGTAGACAAATTAAGATTAGGTCTACGCTACAGATACGAATGCACAGAGGAGCAAAATTATTAAATGGATGTCAGCACTTTAAACAAGCATAAGTCACCCGTTGTGCATTTCCCACCTCACAGCCAGCATATGTCAGCGATAACGACTGTGGTATATCTATGGACAGTGCATTGAAAATGCGAGCAAAGGTTAGAGGGCAGAGAACACAATTTATGAGACCACCAAAGATATGTTCAGGACGAGGAGGGGTATAAATGAACCATTGTTGGTAAAATTGCGTGTATATTTCACCAGGTAGTACAGGGGTTAGAGTTTTAGACCAGCAAATGGGGTCGAATCCTCCTTTATATTTTCAGAGTCAAGGAATGAGTGCCACTTTGTGGGAAGTGGTTGTCTTAGGAAAAAAGATTTCCTATGGCATAGGAATGTGTAATTTGCAGCACCGGCTCGGGAATTAGCGCCAATACTAAACATCGTAACTTTTTTTCAACCATGATGTCCCCCACACAGAGTGGCTTCCAAGATACAAAAACGTTCATTCTTGCATCACGCACCACATACATCGAAGGTCGCATCCAAACTGCCTCACGAAACCCTCGCGACCTTTGGAAAGGCCTCAAAGACCTCTTCTATCGCGGCAGCAGCAGCTTGGCCCTCGGTCACAACAGCCCACAAGCATCATTGAAGCTCACAACCTCCTTCAGCACGCACTTCACCAACAAACGTTCCACCATCACAGAAACCATCAATGCATCCCTCAAACTTCACTCACACCCCTCTTATGCCCCCCCCCCCAACCTGCAACTCCGACTACATCCCTGCCCTTCTTTTCATTTGCACTTCCAAAAAAATGTCTTCATCCTAATCCATGCACATCGCATCAAGTAATTTCCTCTGGACACCCTCCCCAGTTTCCTGTGCGAAGTGTGCTACATAACTCTTCATAATTATCTCCAATAGTACCAATGTCTTTTTTGCAGTCGGGCATTTTCCCATCTTGCTCTAAAAGTGTTCAAGTCACCCCATTGCTCAAGCAACCAGGCCTCAAACCTAATGACCCGGAAAGCTAATAACCCATAACAAGCCAAACGCTCCACTCTCTCCAAGCTCCTGGAATGCCTTACCCTCAACTAGCTCAAGGCCTACACTACCTCCTCTCCAAACTCTTCCTCCTTCCTGTCAGCCTTTCCTCAGACCTAGTCCACTAAGAATGCACTGACAATGGATAACATTTTCCCATTGTGGACTCTGGTTCAGTCGTTGCACTCACTGGCCTTGCCATCTCTGAAGTCTTGTACACCCTTGACCAATCTCTCTTCATTGCCCCCCTGGAATCTGACTTTGGTATCAGTGGCCCAGCCCTAAAATGGATGACATCCTACCTCTCAGACAGTAGTTTCTTGGTCAGAGTGGGGGGAGTCTTCATCCACAGAAACAAGTCTCTCCTGCAAAGTCCCTCAAGGTTCTGTCAACAGCCCCCTGCTGTTTGCAGCTCACACGCCTTCTATTGTCCACCTCGTTGAGAGCTTTGGTGTCGAATACCATTCTTGCGCAAATGACACCCTAACCCGGCAGCTCTGTTGATTCCACCAACGCCTCTGGACTCGAGAGGCTCTCGGAGCTCACCGCCACCTTACAGCGGTGGTTCTGAGCCCAACAATCTCTCCTTAAATGCAGTAAAAATCTGAAGTAATCCTGATCGGCACGAGACAGTGTCTCACCACACCCCCTAACATCAGGAGGAGGGTAGCAGGTGACCATGACCGGCAAGTCATAGAGTGGGGACGTCTGTCATCTGCTACATGGCCATCAGCCAGCACACCATCGTCTGTCATCGAAAAACAGCTTCCTGTGCTCCACTGTACCACTGACCACGTCACCGGAATCTGCTAGAACTTCCCTCTGGCAAAAATAATGGGAAAATCGAGTGGCAAAACTGCTGAATGGAGCCGGTGAGGAATCATCCCCAGTGAGGAGCTCGCATCTGGCTCCAATTCCAAATGGCTCACATGGCGGAGCCTAAACAGACTGAGAGTGGGTTTTGGCAGATGCAATGCTCTCATGAAATCCTTGGGCTTCTGCGCAACCGACCAATGCGCTTGTCAGGAGAAGCAAACCATGTATCATCTCTTGATATGCCCTGCAGCACCACAATACACTCAAGATTTGGCAATGCCAACACCAGAAGCGGTGGCCTGTGCAGATTATTGGGCAAAGACTATATAGGTTGGACAGGAGACACGACGAAGAAGACCACACCCATGTTCCATTCTAGCATGCTAATTGGTGGCTCCACTATCCATTTTTCTGACTAACGTCAAGTTCCTCAACATCACTCTTGACTCCACCTTCCCCTTCGGCGGCCACACCAACCACATCATCAGATCTTGCGACTCCCACCTCAGGGCCCTCCATCAATTACGTCCACACTCATCGCCACGGAAATCACCAACTTCTTCGCCTGCAGCTTCGTTGGGTCTTGCCCCGACTATTGCAACTCCATCCTTTCCAATCTTCATCAGGTAACCTCGAGAAACTCCAACGGTTGCAAAACCATCTCGCCTGCATCATCCTTGGCGCCTGCCATGCTCGGCAAGATTCCCTCGCATCAGAATCAGAATCTTTATTTGGACCGGGGGAATTCTATGAGCTATGAAGCTCTTTTTTCACACGTGCCCAGTTGCTGTCCCTCCGCTCCCTCCACTTGCTTCCCACCATCACCAGCAATGTCGGCTACAAGGTCGCCTGCCGCATGCCACCGCCTTTCTACTCTTAATCGTCCGCTGTATATTTCTTCGTCCCTGTCACGCGCTGCACTGCAGGACATGGCAAAACTCTTCACAGCATGGCTCTCAACTTCCGCTCTCTCTCTAACTTGGACCAGGAACGTCACTGCCAGGCGTCATGTCTCCGTGGCTACCCTCACTGTCCAGGGAGCCTTCCCGCTGCACACTGACAGCATTCAATCTCCACCAACTTTCAAGAGACAGTCTTTCCCCATGGATTTTCGGGTGACACTGAGCTTGGCTCCATGCCTTAACATCTTGGTAATTTAGGCCGTGAAATATTGTGCCCATTATCAATTGCCTTCTTATTAACATTGCATTTGCTTTATGTTTAAAACCCCATTTCTTCCCATTAAACTTCTCATCGATATTTTGATCTGATAATTGCATTATTTTTTTATTTATACCACTACTCGGATGCAGTATATATTGAGGTGCCAGAATAAAGAGGTATTTGAGATAATAGTAAAATTATCACTCAATAAAGGAAGGAATTCAGACCTAATACAATGTGGAAAAACAATGCAGTACAGACAATACATACAGACAAACGAGCTTAAACTAAATTGAAAAGCTTAACTTTACTCATTGGGCTCTCATCTGGCTTTAAATAAAGGAAACCACACTACTTACTCGTTTGAGGCTGAGTTGACCTAGGGGAGGCCCAGAAGCGGTTGAAATAATCGTCACCGGTGGTGGCCGTGAGGGGGAATCGAACTCGGGTCGCCGGTTTCGTAGCGCGGCGCGCTAACCACTACGCTACAATGCGTTACGCTTCCACATGCGAGGGTCACGTGACAGATTTGACGTCACAGCTCACTTGCCGTGCAAAAAATATGCATTATTGAGCTCCCCCCCCCCAAAAAAACACCAAAAGTGTATTTTTATAATTTTTGCATGGTGTACAGTCTGGAAAGTACCCACAAGGCAAATTTCCAGTTTGTTGGATGTCGGGAAATACGCTAACATTTTGAACAGACACACATATTTACAACTTTGCCTTTTATATATATGGAGATAACACGTATTTGTTACAATTAATGAACGAAATGGTATTGTACAAATGTGCGGTGTTAGAACTAAGTGGATAGGAAGGTAGTGGCATTATTAGTGTGGAAATGAATGCAACCTTATCTTTATTGAAAATCGAATTTATAATATTTGCTTCTGTGAAATAATTACTCACCAGGCAGGCATAATGTAACCCACTACGCATGCAATTTATGATTTGGAATTATCATAAATCGCAAGTTGAATTTTTTTTATCTTAATTTAAGTAAAAGTTGAATTTCGAGTTTACTTTATCTCCAACTTAACGAAGTTTGCATTGTATATTGTAGTTAAATGTTTACTCCGCCTACATTACTGGTGAGGAAATATATGGAAATGCTTTTGGAGCAGCGTGGTGCTTAAAGTAAGGAGGCTGCAGTTTAACTGCATGGATTTTTGAGCATGATCATATTCCCTCATACAAGTCGATAATGAAAAGCCACGTTCAAGACACCACCGAGAGCTTCATACA